AGACAGAGACAGAGAGAAACAGAGAGAGACAGAGAGAGACAGAGAGAGAGAAAGCCTTGGCAGTTCGGGTAAACTTTCCTTCCCACTACAGAGTGGCCTGGTTTGGAGGCCTGGTTCACTGTGCCCTCACCTCCATCTGGCACTAAAGCCCTGGAGAGACATTTGTTCCCACCCATACTTCCAGGGGTTCTGCCCCTCCTAGTCAAGCAAAAATGCTGGGTGCAGATCATTTGCCTTTGCTGGCTCCCACCACACTCCAGCCCAAATTTTAGAGTCTGCTTCTTCGGCTGTTTCTCTCCCTCACCTGCTCTTTGCACGGGTCTTTTCTTACCGACTAGGGTGAGCATCCTCACGGAGCTGTCTACGCCATCTCTCTGGCTCCCTGGATCCTCAAAGTTGTGCCCGTGTGTCAGGCAGCCTACCTACACAATCCTGGGTGCCCATGGGGAGATCCTGGGTATCTCCCTGACAGGTCTCAGCCCAGGTGAGGGTGCCCTGGGATTGAGACTCTGTCCCATAGAACTTACCTCTTACCCTGTGTCTCCACTCCTGGAAGGAATCCTCCTTCCAGGGGATCCCTGCTTACATCTCTCTTCCCTAGGTCTCTCCCAACGCCTTGCTCTGCTTCTGAAAATTCAGCACAGCCGCCATTTATGGATATCTCCCTTCTTCCCTCAAACTAACCATGGATTCTTCTCCCCTCAAAACTGGATGCTTCAACTTCCCTTGCCTGTCTCCTTAAGACCATACGACTGTACGCCGTGGCCTCACTACCAGTTCAACAACTGGTCTCAATGGTCAACTAGTACATTCAACTTTCAAGTTCTCCCTGACCTTGACAAATTCTGCCACCACTCAGGCAAACAGTGTGAGGTCCCCAACGCTCAGGCTTTCTTTGCCTTCTATCTCTACCTCAAACCACACACACCAGATTCTCCAGGCAAAAAGCCAAACCTCCTCCCAATACTAACCTGGACCTGGAGCCCTGGGCTCCCTCCCCTTTTGACTTGGATTTAGAGGACGGAGCCCCTCCCCTAGTACTTCCTCAGCATGACCCACCAGCCCCCCTCCTCCTCTGAGGGTACCACCCAAACCTCACCCACTGGCACCCTCCCACTGGCTCCACCCCTTACCCTGACTCCTCAGCTCCTCCAGCAGCTCACACCCACTCCTGAACAGATGGTCTTTATTCCCTCAGGGGAGTGGCTGGCCCTGAATGGCTTGCCCCAGGGCTGATCTCTCCTAGGTAGAAAAATACCTCAGTTCTTTCTCCAATGACCCCCCTCTAACTTCACCTAGGAATTCAAGTACCTTACCCAGGCTTGTAGCCTCACCTGGCATGACCCCTATGCTATTCTTTCTCTGCTCTCAGCCCCAGGAAAGAGAGAGTCTGGAGTGCAGCCAAGCCCCTGCACACAGTGTTCCACCTCATGGACGGTTCCCGTGGGGGCTGTGGCAGTTCCCTGGCCTGCTGGAATTCCCCACTGGAACTACCAGGTTAATGATGAAAAATCAGTTCCCTGCTGGGGTGGCCTAAGACAGAGTGGGTGCCCTTCCTGCTCAGACTCCAAAATGCCTGGAAAATTTTGACAAACAGAGTGGTGTCACCTAGAGGCCAGCTGAGAGCCCTACTCAGTTCTTTGCCCGGCTTTCAAAGGCTCTCGTTGTCACACCAAGCTAGATCGTAATTCTCCAGGGGACATGCTTGTCCTACGCTTAACCTCCTTTCCCAGCCTGCTCCTGATATTAGAAGGAAACTTAAGAGACTGCATGATGACCCTCAACCACCTCTAAGAGACCTGCTGATTCTGCCATTTACAGTGTTTAACGGAAGAGAGGAGCCGGAAAAAGATGAAAACGGATTCCTACTGTTGGACCGAAATACCAGCTCCTTCCTGGCGGCTGCCCTGAGGCTTCAGAGAAGATGGGGTACCCATGGACTCCACCTGGAGCCTGCCTCAAGTATGGCAATTTCACTGATCAGAAGAACCACACTTCACCTCGCCTGCTTCCAAGACCCCGCCCAAACTGTGGGCAGGCAGGACACTGGAGGGTGGACTGTCTCTTGATGTCCCCCCCAAGTTTCTACTCCAAAGGGAAATCGCTCAGATTTGTGAGCCTGGTGGCCAGTCTGAGAATGCTCTAGGACCTCTACTGTCAACAAAACCATCAAGATTACCACAGGGGAGTCTAGGGTGACTGTTCAGGCAGCAAGTAAATCTCTCTCAGTTTTAATAGATTCAGTAGCTACTTGGCCCATCCTTCCTAATTGCTCCAGTAAAACCTATCCGTCTCCGTGATGGGTGTTGAAGTCCAGCTCCACCAGCCTAGGGTCACAGGCCCTTACCTCTATTCCCCCTGAGGCACCTGACTGCTCACTCCTTTCTTGTTGGACCGAGCCGCCCAGGCCCATTACTGGGCAAGGATATCCTGGCTAAATTTTCCTTTCAACAAACTCCTTCTTGAACTTTCTTTTTTCTCTTTCCAACCTCCGAAGGGCCTCCTTGTCCAGTGGCCGACACTAATGCTTCACCCTGTCCTCCTCTAGACATCCTTGTTGACCCAAAAGTATGGGGCACCCCTCTCTCTCAGTGTCTTCCCATCACCCCCCATTAAGATCCTCCTCTGGTGGTGCACGCCTTTAATTCCAGCACTGGGGAGCCAGAGTCAGAGGCAGGCGGATCTCTGAGAGTTCGAGGCCAGCCTGGTCTACAGAGCTAGTGTCAGGATAGGCTCCAAAGCTACACAGAGAAACCCTGTGTCGAAAAAACAAAGACAAAAAAAAAAAAAGAAGATCCTCCTCTGACTCTATTTCCTACCCCGTCTCTCACAACACCATATCTCTTTAAGACAAGACTTAAAACCCACCAAACAGTGTCTTCCTAATAACGACATTCGAAAGCCGGCTCACACCATAGCACTACTCAGCTTGTCCCAAAGCCTAATGGCTCCTACCAGCTGGTCTAGCAACTTGGGATTATTAACGCGACTGCCCTTGCTACAGAGCCAGCGGTGTCTAATACACGCTTTCTCAGATTCCCTCCTCTACGTCTCTCCTGTCAGCATTCTAGACCTTAGTGACACCCAGAGACCCCGGACCTCTTTGCCTTCACCTGGGGGACCCTGATTCAGGAACAGTGTCTCAGCTTGCTTGGACGGTCCTCCCCCAGGGCTTCTGGGATAGCCCCATTTCTTCAGTCTACAGGCGCTGAGAGGAGCCTCTCAACCAGTCTTGCAGCAGATAAACCCAATATGGAATCGACCTTCTACTACAGAGCGGTCACTCCTGCTGTCACAGCAGCATGCTTCTCAACTGCCTAATTCCCACCCCCCACCCCACCCCCAGGAAACAGAAGACACAGTCTTTCCTCCCAAAGCTCAACACCCTGTCCTTCGGGTAAGCATCTAGGCTTTCTGCTATTCCCCAACAGATGTGAATTCAGTCTTGACAGAAGACAGTACCTGAGGTCCCTCACACCTTCAACCACCAAGGATGAAGAGATTCCTTCCTGAGCCTGGTGGGGCGCCTCATAACCTGCTTTCCTAACTTTGTTCTTCTTGCTGGTCCCCTCTATGAAGCAGTTAGTCCCCCTAACCGATCCCCTAGACCTGACTAAGCCTGCCATCTCTCACTTCCTAAATGCGCTCCTACAAGGCCCTGCTCTAACTCTCCCAGACCTTGACCAATCCTTTGTCCTGTGTACTACTGAAGCATGGGGGTTTGGGGACAGATGAGAGGACACACGTTTGCCCCTGTTGCCTGCCCTTCCAAACAGATACAGCAGTTAGAGGGTGGGCAATCTCCACAATGCTGTCTCTCTAACTTTTGATCCCCTCGTGGCTTGATCCCACAGCTGTGGTCGTGAACAAGCCACCTTCAATTCCCGTAACAATCCCAAGTGCTTTTGTCTCCCCCGATCAGACAAACTCAGCTCATGGTTGATCTTTCCTGGGGTGGGTGCCCTCGTTGGAGATGTAAGTACCATCCCTCTGACGCAGGGAGGGGAAGGCATACAGATAGCCTCAACAGCTCTACCATGGACCCCAACTGGGTATGGTCACTTTCATGAAAAAACGGGCCCAAGCAGTCACGGGGTAAATCTATGTATTTCCTGGGATAGTCCGTCTTCCAGAGGGCTGGTGGCCACCTTTATAAATGACACAGTTGAGTTATTAGAAAACCTGAATCCATCCTACCATCCATGCTGCATGAGACCTCTCCCAAGCTGGCCTTCTGGAAGACTATTATTCTAAATGAATCCCCGGGTCTTCTCCACGCCTGTGGCAGTAACAATGGGTCCTCTTGCTTCCTTCGTGTTCCTCTGCAACAGTCCCTCAAGGGAGCTATTCCTCTTACCCACATAACCCTAGCCTCCAAGCTGTGTAATCTCCAAATCATTTCCTCTCTCTCACCCACCCCCATCTCTCTACTCTCTGGAGACACCAGCCGGCTGCCTCTTTAACTTCCTTCCCAGCCCTTCGTCAGCACATACTAACATCTCATCTGGTGTCAACTAAGCAGATGGGCAAATCCACTCATGGTCCTTGTTTCCCTGTTTGTTGCTTCCCCAGCCCTACACACCGAAGGAGAGTTCTACCCCCTCCTCCAACTCATGCACAGGAACTGACGTGGCTCTTCCGGTCATGATTGGAGACACTTTGGTAGCCTCAGCAGTTGCCACAGGTGTGGTCAGATTTGTCAAAGTCTGTAAGAATCACAGCAGATTTCCACCCAGCTAGCAGACACCATCCAAAACTCAACCTTAGCCCTGCAACTGCTCCAAAACCAGCTCACATCCCTGGCATTGGTGGTCCCGAAAAACCAAAGAACCCAGGCTTGCTAACTGCTGAAAGGGGAGGCATCCGCCTCTTTCTCAATGAAGAATGTTGCTGCTACATGAGCCAAAGCTTAGATGAACTGGCTCACAGACTGAGGCCTCCAGGGCCCAGCTCCAGTGCAGGGCTCTCCTTTTGGTCTCTCATGGGTCCCTGGCTCCTCCCTCCTTCTCATAACGATTGTTCCCTGACTCTTCAGGTTCCTTAAGATAGAATTAGTGAAATCACCCAACAGTCAGTAAACCAGGTGCTTCTCACAGAATTTCCTCAGGTCTCCTATCTCAGGACTACACACCACACACACACACACACACACACACACACACACACACCCCACACACACACACACAACCCCACCATACACCAACACACCACCCACACAC